TCTCAGGTTCTTAAGCAGGACAACTCAAGCCTTGAATTGCTCTTTCAGTTGAAATTTCTCCTAGAACCCAGCTGATACCTCCTGTGTTCAGGCTGGGCACACTTTGATCTCTTTCACCGGTTCTTTCCGTTGCAGGATGCTCGCTCCTTGGCCACAGCCCCCACCCCGTCTGGTGCCAGAGCCAACACGGTGCTGGAGCGGGTGGAGGGGGCCCAGCAGCGCTGGAAGCGCCAGGTGCAGGAGCAGAGGAAGACAGTTTTCGACCGCCACAAGATGCTGAGCTAGATTTTTGCTGAGCACCACTTCCCCAAGAGCCAGGGTAACTCCGCTGGTCAGGCCGGACAGCACGTCACCCTTCAGGGCATCCATGGTGTTTGACTGAAAGCTCTCACCCTCTCTGATTTACCATCTTCATAGAGAGAAGCAGACCCAAATGCTTGCCTCTGGTTTTGTCCCTCTGCCCTTTCCCTCTCAGCCCAGAGGCTCTTTAACCCTTGCCCAGCTGAGATCTGTGCTGATCCTTGGCTCCGTGGCTGCATGTATACGGTCGGTCGTACCCAACACTGCTGCCCCGATTCATGGGATGACTCGAGCTGGGGCTGCAGCTCCAGTGCTCTGTGCTCGGCTGGACCCCGCAGGCACCACTTGCTGGGACTGGAGTCACCATCAGCCCACCCCTGAGGTGTCTCAGTACAGGATGTTGGAAGCTGGCTGAATCTTCCTGAGATAAAAAAAACAGTGGGATCATTTTTATGTGGGATAAATTATATGGCGCTCCTCCTCCAGGATGAAGAAGCCTCAGTTCACCGCTGTTAATTGGGCGTGGTGGTGCTGAGGCAGTTGCATTGCACTGGAAGGAGGAGGAGGAGGGGGTTCCCTGCCAGTGATCATCTGCTGCTTGCACCACCCTGGTGTAAACTGAGCGGATTTCCACTCTATTCAGTGGAGTCTGTCCGGATTTACACCAGTGTAACTCGGATCGTAGGTGAACACCACAGAGGTGATGAGTGCATTCACAAGAGACCAGCAGGTAAAAGGTTCATTTACGTGGGTATCTTTTCCTGCTTTAGCAGTGAATAAAAACATCCTGAGGAGAAACCTTTCCATTTGTACCCACCTTCATAACCCTTGAGGATCTCACAGTGCGGTCAGGGGCATTTGTGTCCAAGAGAACTGGGGCAGAGGCTTTGCTGGGACACTGTAGACACTTGTCTGGGTCTTGGGGCTCTGGAAAGGGGACACTTGTGCTACTCAAAACACTCCGAGAGCTCTGACTGCACTTGGGCTGTGTGGGGGACACTGAAGTGATTCTGCAACGTGTATATTGATCCCACTGAGAACATCGATGAAGTCAGGAAGGTGCTGGAGTTTATCATGTAGCATCTCTGTATTAAATGCAAAGATCTATTACATGGTTGGCTTTTTTTTCAGGGTAAAGTCCCATCACACCAAGGTCTGGGGCTCCCAGCACGGAGCTGCTGCTCTCCAGGCTGCCTTCCACTGCCCAGCAGGCACGTTGATGCAGGACCTCGAGCTGTGGTGACACCAGGTGGGTCCCCTGGCACTGTTTTTTTCCCATCTGTGCTCGGATGGTGACTGTCTTGCTCCAAGAGAGCCAGAGCAGTCCTGCTTGGCCCAGGTTAGTGACAGACGGCTCTGAGCTGTCTCAGGAAGGCTGAGCAGATCAGAATTCCTCCTGGTTTGTTGGAGGCTGAGCAGTTGTTGCCAACAGCCTGACTGGGAGAGCTGCTGCTCACCACCTCGTGTGCTGGTGCAAACAGCTTTTGATTGAGCTGCCCGGCAGGATCCAGCCCCCCAAGCTGATCCCACCAGACAAATCCAAACAGAAGCTTTTTCACTGAATCACAGACTGGTTTGGGTTGGAAGGGACCCTCAAGGGTCATCTAGTCCAACCCCCCTGCAGTGAGCAGGGACCAGAGCAGGTCAGAGCCCCCATCAAACCTGACCTTAAATATCCCCAGGGATGGGGTCTCTACCACCTCTCTGGGCAACCTGTTCCAATGATCCACCACCCTCATCTTGAAGAACTTTTTCCTGATATCCAACATAAATCGACCCTTTTCTAGTTTCAAACCATCACCCCTGTCCTATTGCTGCACGTCCTTGTGAACAGCTCTGCCCCAGCTTTCTTACAGGCCCCTTCAGGTACTGGGAGGCCACTAGAAGGTCCACTCCTCCCTGGAAGTGTTCTCGGCCAGGTTGGATGAGGCTTTGAGCAACCTGGTCTAGTGGAAGGTGTCCCTGCTGATGGCAGGGGGGTTGGAACTGGATGATCTTTAAGGTCTCTTCCAACCCAAACCATTCTGTGATTCTACTGAACACGAGCAGCTGGGGGGTGAGAGTTGCCGTGCAGGGACTGAGCCAGTGCGATGGGTCCATCTGGTGGCCAGTGACCCCCTGATCAGCCCTGAGAAATGGGCCATCACCGGTGGTGGGGATCCTGCTCCCAGTGACCCCTGCGTCCCTCATCCTGGAGGGTTTGGTGAGCAGCACCCTGGTACCTTCCCCTGGCCCCTCCCAGGAACAGCTTGAAAATGGGATGGGAGAGGAAAAAAACCTGCAGGTTAGAAATCAGGAGTCGGTGGATTCGAAAACTCCGGTGGGGATGGGACGGTGAAGACATTGCAGAAAAAAAATGCCACTGCCTGGTTAACGATTTCATTTATTAATTAGCAGATTAGCTCTGTCCAGTGCACCATCCTCCCTGGGAGGAAATGTTTTCTGCTGCCCAGTCTAAAATTCCCAGGCCTCTGCTCATCGCCCGCTGGAGCGTCCCCCAGGCCCGGCTCTGTCCCCACAGCGGCCCCCGCCATCGCCGCGGGGACAGGCGCCAGCGGGAGCCAATAATTTAATTCCTTATCAAAAAACAAAGGAGCGAGGAAAATAAAGAACCTCTTGGTACAAAATCCAGCCTCTGGGGCAGCTCTCCGCATCCCCGCTCAGGTGCCGGCCGCGGTCCAGATGTCGATGCTCTGGATGATGAGCCACTCGCTCTGGTCCTGGGTGACCCGGATCCTCACGCACTCCACGGGGCCGGGCACGCCCCTCTCCAGCCCCCGCCGCTCAAAGGTCCCCTTCTCGAAGGTGCCCACGGTGGTG